GGCCATTCTCACTTCCAAGGAGCATTCTGGCTGCACTTCTTCCAGGACAGATTTGTTCGTTCTTCTGGCAGTCCACAGGATTTTCAGTATTCTACACCAACACCATAATTCAAAGGTATCAACTCTTCTTCAGTCTTCCTTATTCATTGCCCAGCTCTCACATGCATATGAGGGTACTGAAAATACCATGGCTTGGGTCAGGTGCACCTTAGTCTTCCAAGTGACCTCTTTCCTCTTTAACACTTTAAAGAGGTGTTTTGTAACAGATTTGCCCAATGCAATATGTCCTTTGACTTCTTCACTGCTGCTTCCATGGGAGCATTTAGAAGGTGCAGGAAATGGGCCAACAAACCTTGAGATAATCCTGTCAAGAGTTTGCACAGGGGGGCAGGAAACATACTTGGTCAGGGGAGGAGCAAGATCAAGGTTGAACCTCAGGGAGGTTAGAGGCTAATGTGACAACTTGTGCTAAATGGAAGGGTTCCCTAAGATCATGTAGAGACCCCAAGAGGGATCCAGAGCAAGAAGGATGAAATTAGGAACCAGCAGCAAACCTGAACATGGCCGGAGAGAGGACTTGTGTACCTGGGCCCTTACAGCCTGATGGGCTGTAAAGTCTCAGGCCTTTTATCACCCAGGGAGAGGCCAAAAGGCCCAGACATACAAACAACCCCTTGTTTAGGCTCAGAGCCAGGCTGGTGGTGGGATGGATGTGGTTTCTCTGACCATAAGGAAGTGTCTCAGAGATTGTTTCCAGGGTCACTAGTTGGGTTTCTGAGAATAGATAAAATAGGGTGGGTATAGGGGTGTGGCATACCTCACACACACACACATACACACACACACACCCTTTAGGCCTTGAAAGAGAAGGTCCTAGGGGGTAGGTACTCAGGGACTATGTAGGACACACAGTATTAATGTGTGAAATTTCCCACCTTCAACCCATTTCTGGGGACCCTGGCTACAGAAGGTAATGAGAGATCTTGTATTGAGAGCTGAGAGTGGGAGAGAGGCTTCTCTTTGGGGTCAACCATGGCAGACCCCAAGGGTTAGAGGAGGTCAGGGCCAGAATCACAAATGCTTAGCCCACCCCTCAATTCTCTGATGCAGGGGATTTTGACCTCTTGGTTTGCAATTGTTGTTTCTCCCTCAGAAATCTCAGTGTCTCCTTCAGACCTTATTGCCTTCGGGGACCCAGCAGCCCCCTTTACCAGCCCTCAGACTCCTCAGGGACACAGGCATCCCTCCCCACAAAGCTCCAGCTCCCCTCGAACCCCTTCCCTGCCAGTTTCTTGTTATCTCTGGCCTTTCTCCAGTCTCCTGTTTATTCACCTCATTTTCCTGGTTGACTTTGGGTCGCAAAGTCCAACTCTAAGCCTTTATCTTTCCCTCTGGGAACCTGTGCTGGGTGGAGGGTACCAGAGCCCGGGAGGAGAAAAGCCCCCACCCACCCAGGCTGCCCAGAGGTCCAAGCCTCACTGATAAGAGAGGAGAGCTCCTAGGGGCAGCAGCTGCAGGAATATGGCCCCAGAAGATACTCTAGGCTTTGCAGCTGCTGGTTCCAGAGGAGACACCTCAACAAATACTGGGTCCCCGAAGTTGGGAGGGGGGAGCAGGGCAAAGGTCAGGCCAGCCCCTCAGGAGGAGCTGATCCATCTCAGAAACCTAGCCCACCCCTCGGCTGTCTCCTCTTCGCTGCCCTGTGCAACGTGGACTCCCATCTCCCACCTCAGGAGACACAGATTCCCCCAAAATCTGGTCAGTGCTCTCTGAGGGAAAAAAAAAAATCCTCTCCAGGAAGTGGAACCCAGGTGCCTGTGTGGCACCAGGAAACTGGGCCTCCACCCTTCACTAACAGCCCAGCTCCCAGTTCCCACTCCGTTGGCCACCCACAGAGCCTCCCTCCTGTGTACCTAGCCCTTGAGAGTTAACAAAGCGCTTCCTGGGAGAGAAATCAGTGAGGCTAGTTTTGTTGTACCCATTTCACAGACGAGGTACCAGGAGGCCCCCTGGGACTGGAGGTATAAGTATGGCCTCCCATGCCACTGGCCTGGGTCAGGACCCCAGATTCCTGTTCCATCCCCCAGACAGACACCTGTCCCCTAGTGGTGCCTGGAAACAGGATGTGGGCAAATGGCTGGAGACCAGGGGTCAGCCTTGGGGACTGGGGAGCTGCCAGGACCCGGATGTAGGTCTTTTCTGTTGTTCCTGGCAGAAGCCAAAAGAAGGAACCTGGCAAGCGGGCCAGCAAACAAGACCAAATACCACCTCCTGCCACCCCCCTTCCAGGGACCCAGGTCCTGCTCCCCAGCTGTCTCCCTCAGGGACACCACCCTTCCAAGACTGAAGTCTCTAGCAGGTCCCAGAGCATAGCCACCAGCTGTTCTCACACCCCTCCCAGGACCTAGGCGAGCTCCCCACCCTTCTCAGTCCCTTGGGTTTCCCCATGCTTTGGGCCCTGGGATTAGTAGCCTTCTCTGGGAGGTTGGCACTATATGCCTGGCAGGTGATCCAGGGTGTGGCCTGAGGGGACAAAAACTCCACTATAAAGCCCAGCCCACAGGCTGGCCCTACAGCTCCAGGAACCTGCAGGTGAGAGATGGAGTCCCCTTCAGAAGTGGGACACCAGGCCCCTACTCTTGCCCCTGGCTCCAGGCCTCCCCACCCCACCCCAAAACCCCCTGAGAAGCCAGCTCCCCCCACACATACTGGTCTTGGATCCAGCTCACCTCACCCCATCTTCCTAACTTCCCTCCCCATTTCAGCCTTCCTTGTGCCCAGGTGGCCCTTGTCCTGAGACTGGGCCCTCTGTCCTCTTGAGGACACTGTCTCAGGAAGGAGGGTGAGATACTCCTGTCTTTCCCCACTGCAGACATGGGTTCCCTGTGGAGCTGGTGGACGCTCTGGGCCGGAGCAACCCTCCTGTGGGGTAAGTCAGACCAAGATGCCATCTGTGTCCTTGCCCGAGTTTGGGGAACTCTGCCTGCCTGGGACAGCATCCTCTAGTTGTACCCCTCCACAAACCCATCTCTCCAACAGCACCCCAGGGGAGCTGAGATGGGAGAGAAGCTCCTTTGGTTCTGCAGAGAAATGTGGTAGAATCCCCCCATTCTTGAGAAAAGCAAGTGAAAACCTTAGTCCTCAGATTCAATGGTTTAAGAACATTCTTGGTTTTCTACAATCTACTAAACTTGACTCTGAGTCTTCGCTCTGCTGGGGTGATGGGAAATTTCATTAAAGTCATTCTGAGAGGGCTTTGTCCCCAATTCTCCCAGGGCTGTGTCCATGCCTAGAGTCTTAGGTAACCGAACCAGTTGCCATCAAGTTGGTTCTGACTCACGAGACTGTGTGTGCGTCAGAGTAAAATGTGCTCACAGGGTGTCCAACGCCTGACTTTTCAGAGGAAGATCACAGGCCTTTCTTTGAAGGGGCCTGTGGGGGACTCAATCCTGCAGCCTTTAGGTTAGGAACCAAGGGCTGACGGGCCAGGGACTTAAACCAAACAATCAATCTCACTGCCATGGAGTCGATTCTGACTCACAGCAACCCCCGTTGGGTTTCTGAGCCTGTAAATCATTACAGAAGTAGATTGCCCCATCTTCCTTCCAAGGAGCAGCTGGTGGATTTGAACCACTGACCTTCTGGTGAGCAGCCAAATTCCATATCCACTATGCCACCAGAGTGCCTAACCCAGGGACCCAGGTAAAGCCAAAGTACTAGGGGTAAAGGAGTACACCAAGACCCTCTAGATGCCCATCAATATCCTTCTAGCCTACTTGGAAATGTCCATTGGCCCTGATGCCTTGACCCTGTGAGACTCTGTCTTCCATGGCACCCAGCAGGCAGTCATCCTATGACCTCCACATCTTCTCCAAGACTCCTTAGGCTTGCCTTCTCCTCCTCTCGGCTCTGGAGAATCTCCTCATTGGGGGGAGTGTTAAGAAGCCCCCTCTCCCCTGCTTCTAAGAGACATTTTGTCCACACTCCCAGAATCCTCTTCTTCCTTTGTCCCCTTCACACGTACCCCACCCCCAAGTCTGATTAAGACAGAAATCACAAAGTGGCAGCCAAGTCTGGCCAGTGTGAGCCCGGCAGCTAGAGGGGAAAAAAAAAATCTCATGAAAAATGCACATTGCCAGCTTCTCTTAAAAACTGGAAAGATTTGGCATTAAAAAAAAAAAAAAAAAAA